TCATCCCAATCGGTGCACAATGCTACAACGGCTGCAACCTATATTTACTGGAGAAGTTGCCGACCTTCTTCGCTCCTATCATCGCCGGCTTCAAGGCCGCTCGGAACGATGACGAGGCAACGCCGAGAGCGCCTTGCAAGCTACGGAAGATGGAAGACCGTTTCATGCCCAAAGGGCCTTCGGTACTGTTATGGGGACTGTACTTCCCCAAATCATAGTAGTAATTCCGAATTTAGAAGCTCAACCTGCTACTATAGAGATACTTTGGATCCTTTCGGATAAACTGATGGTTGAAGTGAGAGCCATCCTCTAAAGCCATCTACGTAAAGCCTATCCCGTAAGGGTCCAAGTACCCAATTATTATATACTCTCCAAAATAGTAACCCACATAGCTACCATCCCAAACCCGACTACCTAATTATTGGGTGATTTGGACCCTTAGGGTATCTACTATGGACCTTTCCGATCCGGTCTTCATCTTCCGGGCGAGACGGGTCGAACCAGACAACCTGAGCCCTGGACATAGAACAGAGGTCGCAAAATTACCAAGACCATCCCCCTGTAGTCCTGATATACTTTTACGATAACAATACTAGATTATAGCCCAAATCCCCATTCGAATTAATCAGGCCCGTTTGTTAAGCCTGAGAATTTTCGACTAAACGGCCTCAGCCTTCAATTCCCAAAACCTGCACCCGAAACCGAACCTTCGCCCGAAGCCTGAAATCCCAAATCTCAAAGAATGCACCGAAGCTCAAAACATGAACCCTAAGCCCCTCCCAAAACCCTACCTAGAGGATCGTGGGACTTAGTAACTAGGGTTATACTTCATGTAACTATACTTATGATTACTTATAACCCCAATTAGGGTACTTATAACCATACTTACTAAGTCCCATGATCCTCCAAGTACCTAATATAATATACCCCAAATACCCACTATTAAGGGCCCTAAGGACTCTGTTGAAGGGCCTTGGGGGCTCCTGGTAAGCCCTAAACCGATAAAATGGAACCCCTAAGCCCCTGAACCCCTAAACCCAGAAACCCTAAACCCAAAACCCTAAACCCTAAGCCCCTGAACCCCTGAACCGCTAAACCTAGAAATCCCAACCCCTGAGTCACTTAAAAACCCCAAAACCCGAGGCCCCGTAGTAGTTCCTTTTTGGCATTACCTTACAGGACTCTATATATGAACCCCAAATGGAACTACTATGCCCTAGGCATCCGAGGCCGCATCTATTAAGGCGTTGATGAAAGCCTTTGCTAGACAGGTCTTGGGAGCCATAGTCTCAGATTGAGGATTCTCAAGTTTACATAGCTTATACGGGTGTCTTTGGAAGCTTGATTGCTGTGGCTTTAAGCTCGACTTAACAGCATTCTGGGCACACGACTTGTTTCCAAGGGCCAACTCGAAGCGATCAATCAACCACTCGGCCAGGCCACGATTGCAAAGCAAGCTTCTTCATAATCGAAATGTAAGACTACAGCTACACATCTTCCGTGAGCCTATGCCGAGCCGAGAGCTAGCTGCCTATCGTGGGCCGGAACTGGCCATGCCGCCACCGCCTCTTGGCTTTCAAGGTGGCCACGTCTGCACATAACCTGAGTTGCAGTTCGCTTTCGACCACATTCGGAAACCCAGAGCATTTGAAATCTATATGTAGTCGAGAAACTGAAGATACCATTTTCGCATAGCTGCATCCTCCAGAGCTTCTGGTTGACATGTCCGAGCAATTCCTCAGCAAACATATCCGGGCTGAGACGTGGATAGGCTAAATTCTGTTTCTTTTTCGAAGCATAGGACAAGTAATTCTTGTCATGGTAAGGCACGTTTTGCAATGCCCATGCCAGATTCGTCTCTCCAACAGGAAAAGAAGCGAGGGTTGTACTTGCTTGCAGCTGCATCTAGATTCAAATGGTGGTATGCGTGGTGCTTGGGTCGCAACTGCCAGAGCAGCCTTAGGCGGTATTGGCTTCGAAAAGCTTATTATTAGAAGGAAAAAGAAGGAAAGAATTTCTGATAAGCTTGAACCGCATCCAATTATTATGAAGCCTTATTCTATGATCTGAATCCGAAAGCTCTTTGTCGGCTGCTGCTGCTTGTGACAACTTGAAGTACCAGTGAAGGTATTCCAGGGCTGCATCCAAGATATTGCCGGCTTCCTCACTGATCAATCACCCAGCTATTAAGCTAAACCCTAGCCTTTATATATTATTATAAGTCTGAACCGATCGAAACCCTAGCTATATGCTGAAAAAATCAAGTAGCGGTGTCTGTGAGGTACCGGCCGGCGTGTTCCAGCAAGCAATACCAACGATGCAGAGAATAAACACAGTGGGCAGTTGCATATATTCTTTCAGACGGGTTCGTAGCCAAAGCTTTACCACACTCCGAAGCCAGCCAGCTAGTAATGATTCTGGAGTTGTAAGCCTTTCAGCATATCTAACCCCTGCAGCAAAGCAACCCTAAAGCCTAAACCGAAAGTTAATCCTAAAACCCGCTAGGGAAAACAGACTTAAAGCTATTCGTATCGTCCATACACAAAACATTACTCGGCTATCTTGACGTCGAAACTTTGGAAGCAAACAAGCCGTAGTCCTCGCCAGTTTGCACGAGCATATACGGTTTGAACAGTGGCTGGGAGCAGCTCAAGTGCTGAGCTGACAGGAAGGCTTTGAAGGACTTGTAGGCTGCACGGAACGTAGCTGTACTATCACTTGCGGGCCACAAACTGATCTTCAGGAGCTCCTTGAATGTACCTCCATTCGTGAATTGTCCAACCCCGAGGTTCGTGCAATGCATAGTGTCATACTTTATGAACCGAAAGTGAAAGCCAGCCACGTACACAAGAGAATTCAGTGGCTCCCCCAACATAGTCAGCATGAAGTCTCTGTGGGACCTCTCATGAGACCGCCAGCAAGGGTTTCTCCGAAAATCACAGTAGGGAAATCTCGGATCTGTCTTCGAAGCCGGGCATATGTGGCACACGTTGTTCGCCCCGTAGTGTCCTCGGAGCCTGAAAGCCTGAACATGCCATTTCCAGTCGCCTCGCAGCTCGACCAAGCGAAACTTTGCACCATCCTCGCAGAGCAAACTCCCAGGTGCACAACGAGGGTCGGAGCTTCTAATCACTTCTCCAGAAAGCGATTTGCCCGGGTAGCGACCATCGATAAGGCAGTTGCAGCTCCATGCCAAATAGTCCCAGATCGGTTGTAACGTTTCTGGCCCGAGGATCCTTTCGGTGCGGAGCATACAGACCGGAAATCTAGTTTCCAGCACCTTCTTCGATTCTTGTAGCGGGAAGCTCATGAAAATCACCAGCAGCTTCTCTTTGGTGACCGTATATTCAGCATCGTCACCATATAGCCCATACGGGTAGTAATTGGTAGCAGCATAAGCCGAATTCTCCATCCAAGGAGCTCGCTGCTCCGTGAAGTGTCTGAAGAATTGCTGCGAAGCCACTCGGTCCATTTGCAGGCGACCAGTACGAACCAACCAGGCGGTGAGGCGATGCGGAGCGAAGATCGGAACTTCGAACGGTACCACATCCGAACAGTTGGGATCTGCTCGTGCTTTCACATAGATTATGACTGAATCCATCTCAGGCACCTCATATTCTATTTACAAAACCAATCTGCAGTGCTTACAAGGTTCCACTCTAATTTTTTCAAGAAAAGGCACTCCCTCGGCTTTGCAACGAGCCCGTACATCTCTCCAGACATTGCCCGGTTGAGAGCCTCGAGCCCCACATGCAGCCAGATCCTCCACCCCAGCCGGCGTTGCATTTCCCAGCTCCTAATTATATTCGAAATCACGAACAGACTCGTATAGCAAACCCAGCCATACTGAAAAGCCGAGGCTCGATGCTGATGCAGTCTGCCAACTCCTGGGCGGCATTGCTGCTCCATTCCTGATTGTGGGAGATGGCTGCATTTGGAGGGTTTGGGTTTTGGATTCGGATAGCTAGGGGCTAGCTTAAATCTTCAATATACAGGGCTTATATTAGGGTTCATGATCAGGGCAAACCGGTTTGGGTTTAGGGTTTAGGCTGCAATTCGCAATATAAGGGCAACTTAAACCCCCCAATTGTAACCTGATCTGAACTGAAGCTTTGACAAAAGAGTCCCTGGCTAGTTATCGCCTCTGCTTCGGTGCACAGCATGGGATCCTGAACCGTGCGGCTCGAAGATGCTGATGTGTGTATTAGTGTTGTATATAAATGCAGTTAAGTTTCGCCAGCTCCCACACCACTCAGTAGGCGATTTCGAATAGTGCCAGGAACACCTGCGTGGGGCATTAAAGGGAGGACTCTTTAAAGGGGCCTCTTTTTATTATGTAGAGCCTTATATAATCGGGCTTGGGTTTTCATTATTGAACTATTGAAGTATGGGTGTTGAGGCTTTCGATTCGGGGTCTATACTAATTTAAGGGTTTGCGGTTTCGATTGAACTATTGAAGTATGGGTGCTGAGGCTTTGGGTTTGGGTTCTCGATCTCGACATATCGATACGGGTTTGTACAAAACCCCAGCTTCAAGACACTCGGCTTGCGTAGATTTGCCTTGCTGTTGGGAGAGCATGATTGGGATATGTGCTGGCCTGGCAACCCTACTCTTAAGCTGGAGCCTTAAACCCTACAGCCCCTATATAGTCAAACTGCAAAACACCGAAATCTATAGTGTAGCAATCTAGCAGGGGAAACGATGCTTGAATCCAGTATGTACATAATGCGATGCTGATTTCACACGATGCCGGCGACTTCAAGTGAGTTCCCTCAGCACAATCGAGCTCGCACACCATTAAAAGCTGCATCTAAGCCCAGCCTGCTGCGTGTTTATTTATGTAGGGATTATGGCTGCTTAAGTTAGCATCGCGATGAGGGGTGTAAGCTAAGCAGGCTAGACAGGCAGCCCAGGCGTGATGGGAGATTGTTCTGCTCACACAAACAAAAGTAGCACCGTTGCCCTTGCTAACATCATAGCAAAATCCTGCCATCCGAGATTACACCTTCGGCGGCTCGGACTCGGGAGCACTCTGCGACTTGGCCTTTGGCTTCGCCTTGGAAGGGCAGGCTTTTTTCACAGACTTGTACTTCTCATCGTAGCTCGTGAATGCTTGGATCATAGCAGCAACCAATGGCAGAAGATCGTCGTCTCCGCCGCCTTGGGTCATGGCTTGCTGAAGATCTTTGTAGGCATCCTTCATAGACCCAATCGCCGGGGCCATGTCTTTGATGAGTGCATCAGCGAAAGCGTCGCCCCTGCACGGGTAGGATTTAGGACAGCAGCAAACAGGAAACCGAATAAAACCAGCAAAATAATGGGAAGCTGCAGCGAAGGCACACACCATTCTTCTGCAGCATCATCTTGAGGCCGTCGGCTTCTGTGATTTTGACAGCACCCTTTTTCACAAGTTCGGAAGCTTGCTGGGATGCTGTCTTTTGCTTCGGGGTCTTTGTTGGTTTCGGCGGGGGCGGCGGGGGCAAACCATTGGAATCGCCTCCGGCACCTTTCGGAGCCGGAGCCGGATTTGTCAAAGCCGGCTTCCCAGGCTCAGCGACCAGCGACGGGCCCTTCATGCACTCGGACCTCGGATCAGCATGGAGCAGGGAATTAGATTGTGGCGATTCGGATAATCAGGGGTTTCGCTTTGCAGTGAAGCATATAGTTAAATCAGAGCAAGTAGCAGCATTTGCTTCGTTCCTTCTCCATCCAAGTTCATCTCGAACCCAAGGCTGAAGTCCACTTCTTCTTCATCCTCCTTCAACTCGACCTTCGAGTCAAAGACCCGAAACAGCTCCCACTCCTTGCACAGGCTAGGTCTCTACCGGCTATTGGGATTTAAAGATTTATACTATTTCGGGATCCGAAAGGGCTGATAGGTCCTTCTAGCCCACACGTATCTACTGGTTTAGGGTTCTTATAATAAGGGTTTATACTATCGGGATCCGATATTTAAAGGGCTGATTGGTCCTTCTTATCCACATCCGGATGCTTCATCCACCATGTCCCCGAGCCCGTGGGGTCTTCCTTTTTCTTGTTCAAGGCCATCCCGTTGGCGATGTCTTCCCCATGCCTAGGCAGAGCGGTATCCAAGCTTCATTGTGGGGTTTCGTAGGTTTATAAGGAAAAGACAAATACTAATTATTGTGCAAATGAAACACTCATCGGCCAGCGTTTGCCATTTCTTCCATACATACTTGCCGGTCTTTTTTCCTTTAGAGGAATTCCGGATGTTGACCATGACGGAGGACTGGAGCCAATTTTCATTGGCGGACACATACATTTCGTAGAAATGCCGCATAATCTTCGTTCCACCTGCAGTCCAGTGTTCGCGTGCTAATACATTTGCCGTAACTTATAAACCTAAACCCTAAGCTTATATATCTGTATATACATATATACACCTAGCTATATCTGTATCTGTCTACACACCCATCTATACCAATATATAAATAATAGTATATATATATATACTATAATTTATATATTGGTATAGATGGGTGTGTAGACAGATACAAACCCTAAACCCTAAACCCTAAGCCCTAAACCCAAAACCCTAAACCCTATACACATATACTATTATTATTATTCTTATTATTAGAACCGAACATAGAAACCGCAATAGAACCTAAACCCGCTATCAGCTGAGGCGGCCATAGCACGTGACTTCCCACCGGGATGGAAGACCTTGCTGTAGATCTCGGGCGGGCAATTGTTGCTGCCTGGGCTGAGATTAGCCATGATCATTGCTTTGAGTTGTAGGGTTTAGGTTCAGGGTTTAGGGGTCTAGGGTTAAGGAGGTTTCGAAAATAGTAATTAATTAATGTATCGGAAGAATTAAGGCTTCGGATGCACACATTATTCGAAATCACAGGGTTTGGTTTGTAACTCGGGATTGAGGTTCGGGTTTGGATTCTCGGATCGAGTTGCGAAGGGATCGGCCATACCTCACATAGCTGTTGTGTGCCAGCCTCTTAGTCTCCTGTTCCTCAAACTCAGCGATAATCTCCTCGGGGGTCTTTTCCTTGTCTCCCTTTGGCCCTGCTTTGGATGGTGGCTTCGCCTTTGCCTCTGCACTGCTCGTGTGGGCGGGGGCTTGGGCTTCTTCCTTCACTGCACTCTTCGGCTCTGTCGGGGGCAGGCTGGGAGCTTCTTCCTTCACTGCACTCTTCGGGACTGTCGGGGCTGGGTCTTCTTTCACGGGCTCCTCCTTGACTGTCGGGGTCGCGATTGCTGGCGGCGGCGCCTGGTGCGAGCCTGCTGCCGGGTCAGGACAAACCAACTGGGAGTCCGAAGCAACTTGCTGCTCCAACTCGCTTGCGAGACTCTCGATATCCTCGAGCGAATCACGTCGTCCGAGCACTGCCTGGATCCTGGCAGACTTGTTTGCATCAATGCTTCCCCTTTTCAGCATGGCCATGACAAGCTTGTTCACGGCAACCTGCATGCTCTCTGCTTGCTCTGCTCGCTGCGTTGCTGCTGTGGCTTCTTCAAAAACCATGAGCCGTTCGAGATCATGCTCCAGTTGCACTCTTTGGTCGGCTTGTTGCTCTGTTTCCAGTGGCTGTGATGCTGGGACTTCTGCCTGGGCATCCATAGGAAGTGGCTGTGATGCTGGGACTTCTGCCTGGGCATCCATAGGAAGTGGCTGTGATGCTGGGACTTCTGCCTGGGCTTCTGTAGGAAGTGGCTCTGATGCTGGGACTTCTGCCTGGGCTTCTGTAGGAAGTGGCTCTGATGCTGGGACTTCTGCGTGGGCTTCCAAAGGAAGTGGCTTTGATGCTGGGAGTTCTGCAAGGGCTGTCGAGGGCACTACCGGAGTTGCTGCGGGAGGTTCGGCACGAACTGGGTCTAAAGTTGGCATGCTTTCTGCACCTGAGTCTAGAGTTTCGCTTTCTTGCAGTGTTGCAACAATCTCATCCAAGGTGTCCGCCGTGTGGCTTCGTTGTGCTGCCTTGTCTTCATCCACCATCGCCGTCAGAGCCTTCATAAGACACTTGGTGCTGCAGTAGATCTTGCTTCCCTGCAGGGAAGGTTCCCGAAACCAAAAAGCCAGAATCTTAGCCTTTAATCTATTCAAATAGAGCCCTAGCTAACCTTGAAACTTTAAACCCTAATAAATTGACATTTAAAGAGAACCCTCGTGCCAGCCTGCTTGATCGTGTCCTCCTCATTCAAGCACACATTGCTGCACACCACACAGCTCTCCTGCACGGAGTAACCAATAGATCTCGCGAGTAGTATATATACTGGATACAGTAGTAGCTAGTGGTAATATATAGTAGTAGCAGTATTAGTAGTAGTAGTAGTAGTAGTAGTAGTAGTAGTAGTAGTAGTAGTAGTAGTAGTAGTAGTAGTAGTAGTAGTAGTAGTACTAGTAGTAGTAGTAGTAGTAGTAGTACCAGTAGTAGTAGTAGTAGTAGTAGTAGTAGTAGTAGTAGTAGTAGTAGTAGTAGTAGTAGTAGTAGTAGTAGTAGTAGTAGTAGTAGTACTAGTGGTAGTAGTAGTAGTAGCAGTAGTAGTAGTAGTAGTAGTAGCAGCAGTATAGTAAGGTTTCAGGCTATTTTGATTTAGACCTAAGTAGTCGTAAATGTGTGGATGCCCCCGTCCTCCAGGATACCACTCAGGTCTTGCGAGCCTGAGACCAGAGTAAAGCTTTCTGCTTGGATGCTTGGATCAGTATATGGATATATATATATATATACATGTACAGTACTCTAAACGGACCCATGCCAGGCCTTGCCCACCCAGCTTCATGTTGTCGAAGTAGCCCGTCAAACTGAGAGTTGTCGCCGAATCAGAGTGGTGCGGCTTGCGACTGCTGCCACTGAAGCTCGGGAGGCTTGGAACTGAGCTGGGGAGGCTCTCCGAACTCACACACGGCTTCATTCGTTTCAAATCCGGGGACTTGTGCGGGGTGCTGGCTGTGCTCATCGGGCTCGGCTTGCTGTTAGCAGCTGCGGGAGCATCCACATCCATCGGGGCCGCCGGGGGCTCCTCATCTTTCATTTCCGGCACCTTCACTTTCGAGCGAGCCGGCGTTGCGATAGGGCCGTTTGTGCGAGCCGTCTCTGCAGCTGGCTTTGTTGGCTTCGCATGCAGATGCTTGGCTCTGTCTACCAAAGCTTGCAGTGCGGGCGACACAGGAGCCGGTTTGGATCCCGAACCCCTTTTCCCCATGATTCCAGCAAGCTACGGAAATCAAAACTCAAAAGCTTAGCTTGAGCAGCTTTAGAAGCAGCCAAGGAGTTGCGATCGGTCACATCTGCTGCAGAGCCTTGGCCTTTCAATACTTATAAACAGACAATATACTACTAGTATTGCAAGCGAGTCGGACACGGGGAGTACACAAGAGCTGGTGGTAGTTCTGGATCTTACATATGCAGCTCTACCCTTAGTTCTACGAAAGCCATGATTTGGTCAATGGAGGAATTCTGGTCTAGCCTGGTGGCGATATCGGAGCTCATAATATGAGTAAATACAAAATAACGCTTTTTAACGCTTTTTAACGCTTTTTAACGGGAGACCTGTGTGACATAGGTCTTTGGTGCTAAATTTAACGGTTTTTATCGCTATTTAACGGTCGCCTGTTTTCTAGGACCTACGACGACCCAGCAATACATACTTAAAAGTGGACCCGGCCTAACTCAGAAGCGAGAATTATTTCTAATATGTGTGAAAGGATAGGAGGACTACTTAAAACCCGGAATTAAACCCGATTCCCAGATAGTTCGAGAAGCAAATAAAGCCAGCTCCAGTCCTAGTGTGGCGAGGGTTTCAAGATTCGGATCTACACAACGAACTATACTTAAATATATGGGGCTAGATAATTATGTAATTATGTACAGGGCTCTAGCTTTAGTCATAATATATAGGAGGTATATGTATATGTATATATATATATATAATCCCCGAATGCTTCTGTCGCCTTAATTGTATTCTGGCCTTTAGGGTTTCAGGGCTTAAGTGTTTTATGGGGTCCCGGCTATATTGAGACTGGGAGACCCGACTACGAAGAACGTGTTCCGAATTGCGGACCAGCACTAGTTTCGCTAGTTATTATATTTAGGGTTTATTCGGGTACTATATTTTAGACCCCCTAAAATATTATTCAATCAAGAGCTGGAGTGCCCCGCTTGACATTTTGCCTTGGATCAGCATCCTGCTGCCGAGCAGTGCCTCGGTCGAAGGCATGTTTCCTAACAGCCAGCGAATCTAGGCTTAAAACTTATAATTATATTACAGGTTAGGCTGCGGGGTTTCAGGGTGCCGGCTTTCAAGTTTAAGGTTTGGGTTCGAGGGATTAGGGTTAGGGGGCTTTAAGGTGTCAGGCTTAATCTATTTTGCATCGTGGGGGCTTGAATAGACATGGTGAGGTTGACTAGTGTTCCGGGCACCGGATTTCGAAGTTGGGTTCCATAGCTACAATGCATCGGACGATGTGTTTGCCGCTTTGGGTTTTGTAACTCTGCATCCATCATGATCAGTTCTTCATGATGAGGCCCTGCTTTGGTCCTGGAGCTGCCTTGGGCTGATATGGGCCTATGCTGCGATGGCAATGCTTGGGATTCCTTGGATTGCAGAGAACACTAAATTATCTTTAATATTATAGGTATATATATATATATATATTATATATATATATAGAGTAAATATTTTTTTATTATATTATTATTATTATTATTATTATTATTATTATTATTATTATTCGTATAAGTATTAGTATTATTATTATATCTTTGAATTCTACATCGCTAGCATATGAGGAGCCGAAGGGGCCTCCTAGTATCGAAAGATTCCGGCTTGGACTCGAGCAAACCAACCGTACATAAGTAGATGGGAGTCGTTATATTCCTATCAACCCTTACCCATGAATCCCTGATCATCCGTCGAGCTCTATCCCCCGCCATTCCATATGCTGTCTATATAGATATGTACTAAACCTCGGATCAACCAAGCGAGTTATGTTTCAACATATAATTATATATGACATCTGGCGATATTATGTATAATATCGCCACATGTCATATATAATTATATACCTAAATTCTTATATTATATTATTTTATAAACCCCAACTAACCTTGAACCCTCCCAGAGACTCCAATGCCCCTTAATTAATCATGATCTTATACGAAATTATAAATGGACCCTATATTATGACTCAAGGTGTATCCCTTAATTAAGGGGTATTGGAGTCTCTAGGCTGAAAAACCTGAAGCCTGAAAACCTAAACCACCAACCTAAACCCTAAACCATATCAACTAAACCCGATTAATGTCGAAGCCACAGCTAGACGAAGTAGTTTATGTACCTATAATATTAAGTAGACCCATGGATGTGAACCCTGGCCCTAGCCTTATTAACAAGAGCTGAGTAATGTCCCCCCAAGTGAAACCAAACCAAGTTTAATTCATAAAGGCACCCCAGGCATCACGAACAGAAGCTGCGGCACAAAGTCCAGGAGATAACCTGCGGCGACGATTATGAGCGATTCGGAATTTTACAACACGATGCTATGTATTGGGAAGGGACTTGGCCTCAACATATAGGTGGTAGGGCATTTATTATTTTGAGTGTATCCCCACATGATAAGGAGTCTTTTTTTGATTAAAGGTGCGGGTCCTACATATACCGAATTCGAAGGGTGTTCTTATAGAATTATTACAAAGCATGGGCCACAACGAATCTCAGGCTGATTCCCCGACTTCTTTCACGAAGTGGCTACATACCCTGGGAGGAGGGGCTTGGCTTGTGTGAGGTGGTCTACGTGTTCCTCAGAATTCGAATGGGCCTACAGGGTATTAGGGTTTGTTTAAATTTAGGGTGGAGCAACCTATTATCTATGTAGCAGGAGGCTGCCAATATTAACTGTTGACAACCATATTTCGAACTACAACGGTAAATCAAAGGCTTACAGTGAGCAGCCCCAATCCTATGTGATTATGGGGCTCAGGATTATGGGGTTGAGGGACATGCCGATCGGGTCCAGGCTCCTTTCGAGCGGTGGGTCCAGGCTCCTCTCGAGCGGTGGGTCAAGGCTCCTTTGGAGCCGGATTCCGGCCCAGCGGCGGGGCTTGAGGGTTCAGTCGCTGCTGGCGGAAGTGGTTGCAGCTTCGACCGGCTGTGACCTGTATTTGCTGGTCGGCAGTGGGTAATCGCGGTTGGCATGCTGTGTGCCCAAGGGGCTGTATCTTCCAGATGTCCCAAATAGCTGTTTCGCCAGAACTTGTAACCGGGACTGCCAGCAACAGCGGCTGGAATCGATAGCAGTCGAGAAGTGTCCACGTTGAACTTTTGCCTCGCGAATGACACTGATACACCATCGTCAAAAACCGGAGCACATCTGGCTCTGCCAACTTCCAAAGTGAGGCTTTGAGCTAGACACTTATTAGTACTAGCTCGCTTCGGGCTGTGGCGGCTTGGTTTCGTATTTATTACTTATTATTATTATAAGGGAAAGTGCAGCCTATGTATGAGGCGGGTTCTAGCACTAATTAGGAAAAGCTCCGAGAAGCTTCAGGGAAGGGGCTGGTTAGACTCGTTGAACCGATGGGTTTGGATAACACAGGATCGGGTGAATTTTTGATTAGGGTTTACAGATCAGGAAAGGTAGAGCAAGTAGGGGATGACCCGAAAGGAGATTCAAGGGCTCGGCCTGACTGGGGTTTGGTTGGGATCTCATCATCCTGCTAGAAATAAGAATTGTACGAAATCAGATAGAAGTTTCAGGCTTGCTATTCAAGAACGATTAAACTCCTTGGAAATTCGGGGTGCGGTCATGAACAGGATATTACGGTTTAGGGGTTTAGGGTTTCGGGATTTATGCATGACGTTGTAATTGTAAACCACTGCCAGCCTGCGTCCGAAATTCTGGGTTCCATCAGACCCATATATTATCCCAAGTCGAACTCTAGCTTTACCTGGCTATAGCAACATATTCCGAAGCGGAACCCCGCCTTGCTTAAGTAATGTGATTGACACCGACCCGAAGCCTGAAATTGCGAAACCGGGCCTGACCCGTACAAGTCCCAAAATTCCCTTTATGCAAGGCTTTATTAGGGTTTTGTGGCTTGGGTTTGAGAAGCATATTTAAAAGTTTAAGGCAATACAACCAAAACTCAGCACAAGCCTAGAAAGGCCCGGCCACGGCTATAGCTAGTCAACCGAACCCCATAACACCTATACCTAGACCCTGATCCGAAACCCGAGCTCCACAACTGTACATTGAACACTTCCGGCGACACCTCTATATTAATTGCATTTTGCCCGAAACTAGCGACGACTTATGCAGCCATTCCCCACCTTCTTAAGCTACAGCCTAAACTTCACAGCCCCAGATCCGAAATGTGATAGTCCGAATCCTTGGTATATGTATGTATATATATATATATATATATATATATATATATATAGAATTCCCGACTTATTATCCGGAGCCATTATGCCAATAATAACGGACTGGCGGACTCACAACCCTAGATCTGTGCCTACCACTAGACAACTTAGCCTAAAGCCACCCCAAATAAATGGGCAACACCCACTACATTATCCCTAAACCACATTCGTGATCTCAGGCTTTGGCTGCTGGGCAGACACAGCACCGTCGCTGCGACCTGGGATGCAATCGCTCTTCTGATCACAAGGCAAGCTTCTTGGCTCTTCTGGTGTTTCGGCGCAAACTTTGCTTTCAGGGCTTGCACTTAAAATAAAGGAAGCCAAGTAACTGCATATACTCGCCGAGTCGTGTCGAGAAACACCTGGGCTGCAAGGTTAGGGTCTCTGGTTTAGGGTCTGTTATTTGGGGTTACGTAGGGTTTACGAGGAAGGGTTTAAACATTATTATGGAGTTCGGGTCTCGGGATTAAATTTTAAAGGTATAGAATTTAGGGTTCAGGGGTCAGGGGTTTACAATTTTAAATCTTCGGCATATGAAAGATTAGCACAAGCTGATTTGGAATTCATGATTGCAATCAGGGAACATCTCAGCCCACATGGGACCAGGGGCCCAGGAAGAAGAGATCAAAAGTCGAGGGCCATGATCCCATAGCTAGCGATCGTCGGGTATATTATTAGCATGACTAATATTTTCATGGGGTATTGTTACTCATGGAAACGACCACGGCCCCCACATCAAAACTGAAGTGGCTCAGCGACCCTAATCACTGTCGCGGCATTTC